CCGCCATCGACTCGGGGGCGCCCGGGACGGGCACGGCGGTCCCGGGGCTGCGGCGCGCCGCCCTCCGCCGCAGGTCAGTCACAGCGTCCCAACGCCGGACACCGGAAGCGGGGCTGGAGAGCCCCCAGCAGCCCCACCAAAATGACCGCCGCAGACGCCGGAAGTCCCGCCCCAGGGCTACGCCTGCACGCGAGTCCCCCGTCACCAAGGGAACCACGCATTGCGTCGCCCTAAGCGTTTCTGGGTAACGCAGTGCACGAGCGACCGAGGCGCCGCCAGGAGCGATCCGCTTCCCACCAACGCGAGAAAAGAAAAGATCCACCCGCACAAGCGCGTCCCTGGCAAGTGCGAGGTTCTGAGTTCGATTCACATACACACACACATAGCCACACGAGATCCACTCCGCGGTGCTGGGTTCTGGGAATCAACGTCGGCGACCTCTCCGGGGAGCCTGCGGATGGATGCCTGGGTTTGGGGAAACCAGGGTGTGTGTGCCTGGCGATTGTTTGCACTGGGCTATATCCCCACCCCTTGTTTAAATCTAATATTTTTGTTATTTTGAGGCAGCCTCACTAAATTGCCCAGGCTGAGCTGGAATTTGTGAGTTCCCCTGCCTCAGCCTCCCAGAATGCTGGGATTAAACCCTTGTGCTACCACGCCCAGATCTCCAGTGGAAGGGATCACTTAAATCTTATTTAGAGGTTGAGACGCCTGCAGCGGAGCCAAGGGGCCCTGCGCTGGAGGTGGAAGCGAGTGCAAAGCGCAGGCAGCCGGGACGTCCGTCGCTCCTTACTTCCTGGTAAAAGTCACGCCCTGCCCTGGGAAAACCAGACCACCGCTGCTCTTAGGCTCTGCTCGGATGTCAGGGGATCGAAGACGGCGACTAGGCAGCAGAGGCAGCTCCTAACGCACGACGCTGTGTCCTCGCCCACCTTACTCACAGGATCTGGCACCCTGCGACTTCTGGCTCTTCCCCAAAGTCAGAATGACCGTGAGAGGTAAATGTTCTGAATTGATTCACGGCGTCTAGGCAGCCGGGACAGCACAGCTAAAGACACTCAGGGAAGAGGACTCCAGAGCTGCAGAAAGTGGCAAGGACGAAGGGATCAGTGCGTTCCAAGTGAGGGGGATTAAGACAACGTGTCTTTTACTCAGTGTTTTAAATATTTATTTTGTAATTTTTATTAGTACAAGTCTGTAGCGCATACTGATTATATTTCTCGCAAGGGTTGATGCAACCACTTTGCTCATCTCAATTCTTTTTTATTATCCCCACTCCCTCTCCTTTATTGCCATCTCTCAGTCGCCTTCTCATTTGCAAAGAAACAAATTTAAACATTCGCCGTGTGTTCTAATCACACCGCACACCTCTGGACAGGTGGTCTGGCGAACGCTAAACACAGCTCCTGTGCTGAGCCTTACTTTGCCCTGCTCGCTGAGAGCCCCTGAGACAGATTCTTGCCTTCACCCTTAATGGGCGCCCCACAAGCTGTGCTTCTACAGCTGTTGCCTCTCTCAGGATGCATCCCACAGCAATCTGTATGCACCATGCAGTTCAATGTGAATGTATTTAATGCCACTTAGCCTTATATTTTAACTGGTCATAGTGGTAAATTTCAAATTATCTTATCACAAATTTTTAAAAATGTTATTGTATAATCACAGTGATTTTTTTTTCCAGAATTTAGTTCCAGGCTGAGTGACTGTAAAAGATAGTTTTATAGATATTACCTCGTGTAATTCCTCCATTCCAAACATAAACCAAAAATATTACCAAGAAACAGGCAGAAAGTATACTGCTAAATGAAGACTGTCCAAGTAGATTCATGGTCAGGTGGGACTCAGACTGTGAGGTAGGAGCAAGTCTGATTATAAAGGGAAAACTCCCAAATATTTAAATTAAATGTAAGGTCAGTGTCACCAATATACCTACCAGTGGTTCGAGATTCCAGTGTATGTATCAAGAGCTACAAAATTGGAAATCCTATTTTCAAAAACAAACTGAAAGAAGCCAACCTAAATGTACATGTAGATAATATAGTTTAGTGAGGACTGCACAACTTGCAGCTTGCAGGTCTCTTGCCATACTTGAAAAAAATTAAAATAAAAATATTTTAAAGGGAGTTTTGATACTCAGCGACATGGACTATATTATATATGGCACACAACAGTTTCTCTGCATTTATAGCAGCCCAGGCAAGCCAAAAGTGTGCCACAATACATAGAAAATCTACAGAACAGGTAGCTGTAAAGCATTACTGAATTAATAAGATACAAGTTTGGTGAATGGAAAAGCACTTTATTTGTCTTCAGCTCTTTTTCTGCCTCTCTTCCCCAACATGTCATTCTGGTCTCTCTCAGACTTTTCCTTGTCTCACTCCAAAATACTGTCATTTGTCCTTATTTTTGGTCTTCTTCCACTTTTCCTGTTTACCTTTAAGTGTCTGTACACTTGTTAATTTTTCCCTCCTCTGCACTCGAAACCCTTCCCTCTTGCAACCCTTCATGCAACCCGTGCACATACACACACTGTTGTCTTTGTTACTGGCTCTCAGTGTCTACCTCCCATCTCTTTTTTTTCCTCTAATTTGTGATCTGAACCTTTTTCCTAGTCCTCTCCATTCTTATTCCTCTGACTGTGTTTCTTTCTACTTCTCTCCTTCTGATGGTCCCACTTAAAATCATCCAACTTAATGTCTCTTGCTCCCATCTTTTCTAGGTTTGAATCTCTACTTTCTTTCCCTGTCTCCTTTCTGCCTCCCTTCCTATTCTCTCTGTCCTCCCCTCCTATAGATCTCCTCTCTCTTAGTTTTCTCCATCTTCCAGGTGCCACCTACCTCTTTTCTTATTTATTCTTAATAAAGCTCTTGAGTTAGGGATATAGTTCAACGGCACAGTGCCTGCCTGGCGGGCGTGAGGTCATGAGTTTGATTCCTGGTACCAAAAAATAAAAAATAAATAAAGCTCTCAGAAGATACACATTTTGTTAATGTATTGTTAACTATTCCTTTATTCTACAGTGTATAAATGAAAGTTCAAATACATCTAGTACTAATAGATCCTTTTCATACAACCTGATTGTGGGATCATTTATCTCTTCAAAGAGCAATATTGTAAATGATTCCCATGAGGACCAGTTCCTGGTTTGCAGAGGCTAGGGGAGGAGCTCAGTACAAGCACAAATTTACAGGCAGTCTTCACCCATAGGCACACACATGTGGTGACACCTACATATGCATGCACACATGTATATATGTGTGCAGACATATGTCCATAGATATTGGAACATTTGAAGACCCATACAACAAACCCAGTCAGTACATTACATTTCTTGTAAAAATGATGCAAACATAAAATATAAATATATAATAATTCTAAATACAATAAGAGCATTACGTATTTATTACATGAGAAGTTGTAAAGAAGATGTTGGAGTGTAGACCGATGCAACTAGTGTGAGAATGAGTTTGGAGATTCCTCAAAAAGCTAGGATTAGAGATCCCATTTGACCCAGCTATTCTCCTTCTGGGTATCTTTGCAGAAGAATTAAAAACATCATACCACAGTGATACATATGCACCCATGTTAATAACAACACAATTTGTAAGAGCTAAATCTGGGAAACAACTCAAATGCCCATCAACTGAGGAATGAAAAAAAAGATGTGATCTTTTTATACAATGGAGTACTACTCAGCCATAAAGAAGGATAAACTTGAGACTTTTATAAGTAAATGGGTGTAACTTGAGAACATACTCATAAGTGAAATGAATCAGTTTCACATCTATAAACATCGTATTGTCTCCCTGGTGTGAGAAACTGAAAGAGCAAATAAGGTCTAAAATATACAATAGATATTGTGCAATGGGAAAAAATTGTTCAAAAGGAAAGAGGAACTAGGGTAAGGTAAAGGGGAAAGGAAAGATGGGAAAAGGAAAAAATACAAGATAGTTATACTCCTAATTTCTTTTAGTTCATTGAAAAGAGAAATTTGTACTGGTATCATCTGGAGAATTTTTTATGCCCAAACGTTGTACTGTGAGTAATTATTCTGAAGATAGCAATACACAATGTAATAACTATTGTTATTCTCCTACTACTTTCTTTTCAAATTTTCTTCCATAAAATAAAAAAATAATGTTATTGGAAATAAGGTTTTCATGAAGAGATTATCCAAGATACAAATATAAAAATCACGAAGTCAGGCAAATCTTGTTTTGAAGAATCATCATGTTTTACAAACTATTCCCAATTACATTTCCTTTAAATCTGTTTCTCTCCCTGTATTCCACAGAAAGTGTCTAGTCGTACTGAGCACCTTACCATGAATACAGCAATTGCCCAGATTTGTGGCTGGAGGTACAACCTACTCAGAAAAGGAACTAGAGATTTGGGCGAAGGAAGCTCATATGCCTTTTTTACTTTTCTCATTGCTGAGACAAAATACCCGACACGTAAAGTTAAAGGAGGAAAGGTTTATTTAGCTCACAGTTTGTAGCTGTTTCAGTTCATAATTGGCTGGGTAATTATGGCAAGGTAGCTTCACAGAGGGGGGCAATACATGGCGGGCAGAAGATAGTGAAAGCAACAAGGGAGAGAGAGGACAAGCCTCTTTCTGTCCTTTGTATGTAGGCTACTTGCCCTAGGATAAGAGTAGCGTTCACAT